ACTTTTAACGTTTCTTGTTAATATTCATTTCCAGTTTTATGTTCGTATTATATTTCTTCCAAGTGTTACACATCAATGATTGTTATACCTACAAAGCAATGGAACATTCCAACTACTCCTGTTCCTCGTGCCCACACATCAAAGGCATACCGCGTCCGGTGTTTTGATTAACTGTCACGTGAGAGTGTGTGTAACTTTATTGCGTCTACAACTGTCGTTGGGGCGTCTAGCAAAGTGTCTGGGGATGTTGCAAAGTCCCTCGGTAATTACCTAGCGGGTGCACGAGTTAGGTGTATGTAAATATCTTGCGCTCGCTGTAAAACTGAATGCTGTAGCCTGTGATCGAAGTGGCATAGGAGCTCTGTCTGCAGATGATACACATCTTCTTTGATCTGCTTTAATTGCTTTTATGTTAGTATGTCTACTTCGACACTCTTTATGTACGAAAAGGTTCTCTGTGAAAATAATATCTAGAACATCTAGACTTCGCAGTTTGTTAGACTTATTGATGCCAGCACAACCTTTTTCGGTTAACTTAGCATAATCTTGAGGCTTGTCCAAGTTAACTGGCCCCTGACACAACACACAAGCCATCAGTCTAGGTCAGCCACTTGTAAATAAGTACATTTTTAAACTGGAGTGAATAGATGTAGATCACACATATATGATAATTGCCGTGGTTGTATTGTTTTAAAAATTGTACTAAAAATTACATATTATTGTTTTATCACATATACGTTGCATATATCCGCATGTATGACGTTGAACAGAGCAGATCAAAAATCCATATCTCGTGGATGCTACATAGACAAGTTTGTTTTAGTGAAGGCTATTATTTGTACACAATGTCAGTTTTACACTCACCTGAAATACTGCTTACAAAACCAAACTGGAACAGCTATTAAATCGTTGAAAAATATTTTCTAAAATACAATGCAACATGACTAAGTGAGCGACAGATGCAAATACAACGGATTCATTTGCTTGCAGTGAAAGTAGCTGCGCGCGTAGCTGCGTTAACGTAGTTTGCATATGAATAGCTTGCGTTAATCTACTGTCAAAGAGAGAAAAAAATATTTTCCGGCCTATATATAATTATCTTAAGCTGATGAGAATAGGCAGATCATACAAGTTTTTATCTTAGATGGTTTAAAGTTTTGGCATATTTTCATCTTCGTCTTTTTTATGGTAGCCATCTTGGATTTGACCTATTTTCTGAGGTCATTTTGAAATAGTCAGTAAATTTATCCAAGAAAAGAAATACCTTCAATCGTATTTACTTGTTCAGCATATATAAAGAGGTATATCATGCATATTTTTTATCTCTGGTCCATTTGTATGACATATTTACGTGCGTTTCTTTCTGTATGGCGGCCATCTTGGATTTGACCTAGTTCCCCAACTCCAATTTTGGTAATTTTTTTTTCCTTCAAAGTAAGGGTAATGAAGAGCTGAAATTCATAGAGAAACCTTTTCCAACAATTTTGTTGAACCTTTGCTATTTAATGCCTGGACTATGTATATGATAGA